TCCTCCGCCTTATCAGACGACTACTTGCTCTGTCCGTCCCCACCGTCATACTCCCATGAGTCCTCGCTCCTCTTTCCCCCATCAAACTATGTACTCTTTAGCTTATTGCTTCCATCTTAAAATGTTCGGAAAGAACCGTATCGCGTTCTAAAAGACCGCCTCCGAGAGACGATAGGATCGCTTCCTCACGCGCATGTGGACAAACACTCTTTCACTTTTGACTTACGATATATATACGGCTATAGTCATGGATAGTTTAACAAAAAAAAAATGCAGGCATGGCTTAAGCCTGATTGACATGGCGCGATTTTACCTGCGATTTCGCAGTTCCGGCGAAAAAAAAAAAAAAAGGTATGATGGCGGCTGCGGTACCCGACGTTGCAGTTGAGAAATCGCAGTTAAAATCGCACCGTGTGAACGGGCTTTATTATGTTTACGCTTGTTGCTTCCCAATCACTTCCTTTGCGATCGTATGGGCTAATGTCGCACTCTAACTGGGCGCAAGACGATAATAAACTGCTTGACCATGACCATGCCTCGCGTTTTTTTTAAAGCTGTCACTGGGTATGCTGAAATTAATAGAGCATTCCAGAGTAATCCGTATAGCAGCCATCTTTCGCGCGTCCTACAGATTATATGCAAAGATGATGCGACAAAAAAAAAAAAAAAAATCTCGAGGCGAATTTGCATTGTGTTTATCGCGAATTCGTGACGTGGCGATTTACACAACTGCGGCGGCGCGCGAAGAAAGGAAGAAAGCGAATCTAGAACCTTCAACCTTTCAGGCGCCGTCCGTCGCCTTTCTTTCGACCCTCAAACGAAGCGGTCACTACCGACGCCTCTTTGCCAGTTTTGTCACGTGCGGCCGAGACTGACCTCGATGAACCCCCGTTTTGTCGTTTTGTTCTCGAGCGAGCACTTGGCGCCCTTTCGTGACGAGAAACCCCGCGGTGAACGCCACAGGAAGAGATTACGGGTGGCGTACTGAATTTAGTGTCTCCGGCCCTCCGTACTTATTCAACAGAATCGCCGAAACAAATGGACAGGAATCACGCCGCGTGTGTGTGGGTCTCGTTTTTTTTGAGCGTGCATTTTAAGTGTAGAGTATAAGAAGAACGTCGTACCTTCGCAACGTTGTTAAATCTGCGACACACTTTCGCCGTAGCCTTAACGTGTTCAAATTATGAGGTGCTATTTCATAAATTAAAAAGCAGTCTCGTGTCACTTCCAGACAATTTGATTGCTGACCACGAGGCCGTTTCGGCAGTCAGGAGTTACCGTGTCTTCATCCGGAGTATGAGCACAATCGAATGGCCCGGAAGAAACACAGATGAACGCAGGCGCGAGTCAACATAAGTGAATTTGGCCACAGCCTCCTTGGACTTCGAGGAAAACACAGCTGCGTTTCACATGCACAACCGCTTGTTGCAGCGTTGGAGAGAACTGCAGTGATTTTAAAGTGGAATTGTAGCGCTTCGTCGAACCACTAGCAAAAAAATACTATACATATAAATGTCAGTTCCACTGAAGTATACTGTAATGCGAGTCCGGTTGCGACAAAGAACACACAGAGCAGTGCCTTCACCGGTAATAGCCAGCCGCTGCCGGAAATGGAATGCTCTCGGTTTGTCCCGGACAAGTGATGCTGACTGGTGTTGTTAATCGGGACCACCGTATCGGCCTCCCCGCATTAGGTCGCGTTTGTGGAGAAGGACGTGCACAAATGATCCGTTGGCGTGTTTCCGATTACTGCAAGGAGGACAGGAGATCGGGACCTTCAAAGAAGAAGAGATCATCATTTGTATTTTTTAATTTATTACAATACTTGTCTCCTTTATGCGTGTTGCCGAGGGAGCAAAGCTATCATATAAAATGTGTGTATCTAAAAAAATAAAAAGAAAAGTATTGAGGCAAAGAAGTGGGTGTTGCATCGCACACATTCCAAATTAGCCTTTTTCGCTAGAACTCCCGAGTAGGCTTGCGAGCGCCCCAGACGTCCTGAAGGAAACAAATGCTTACCCGGCGTTCGTTTGGCCGTCGTCGCGGGATGGTCCCACTCGGCAGATGTGGTCTGTTTTGAACGGGTGACAGAACGTTCACGCCCCACAAGACTTTGCACTTTATCGTACGTCCGGGGCGAGGGAAAGGGACAGATAACGAGTAGTAGAACAAGATGGAACTATCTTATTTCCTCCGCCCTTCAGTTTCTCATTCAATTGGACAACAATGGTGGCGGCGTTTGGGACAACTTTCCAATGAACTCCGCCTGCATCTGGAAGTCCTTGTAGTCGTCCTCTCACGAGTTCTCTCGAAAAAAAAAAAAAAACAACTGAAACACAAAACAAAACAAACGAAAAATGAGAAAGGCCGCAAGTCTCTCCGTTTCACTTTCTTCTTTATTTACTTTCCGAGCTTGCGGTCGAGCTTGTGCGTTGGAAGGACCAGAGGCGGACGGACCCTGCAGCTGCACCGCCATTCGCCGACACTTGGCGCAGCAGAAACCGCCGGCGAGCTCTCCCTCCGCCAGATGAGGAAACTACTTCCAGGAAACATCCTCCTCCCAAGCTCGGAACTGCGCGTTGGGGACCCCGAGCTAAAGGCCCGATGAACGCACACACGAGGCGGCCCCATCCTCCTTATGTGAAATGTGCCGAGACAATCCCAGTCGCCTGGAGTGGTGGCAAGGAGGACTCGCATGACAGAGCCGGCTGAGCGGGGGTGCAGCCCGAATGCGGCTGGACACAATTTCCTCTGTCTCACAAGCCCGCAGTGTGAGAGCCAGTGAAAGAACAAAGGGCGCTGGGAGAGGGCCACGGAGTTGCGGATTCCCTATCTCGACCCTGAAAGGTCAGGAGCCTTGTGTTCGGTGGAGGAGGACCGGCGACAATGCTGTTCCTTGTTCCGCTTGGGATGGGAAGGCCGTGGGCTCGTCTGCTGCTGGCTCTTTTTCGCTACTTTTGCCCCTGGCGCGTTTGAGAGGGTGTCTGCGGGCCTGCCTCTGGATTTGGTTTTGTCTCGAGGTCTTCGTCTTGGCTGCCTGCGGAGTCTGCAGTCGCCGGGCATCGACGATGGTGCGTGTGCTTTGCTCGTCGAGACACCGTAGGTGTTCGCGAAGTTTCTTGAAGTGTTGAGGGCTGGCTTCGGCGATTCCTGTGGTCCTGGGTTTTTGTCGTCCGATCTGTAAGCTTCTTTTTCGTTTCTTGTGGAGTGTGTTTTCAGGTTTGTGACGTCCTTGCTTTTGTCATCGGTGCGACACGTGGGACCCTGTCTTATGTCAACACAGCCTTTGCTTAGCTCCCGATTCTTGATTAGCGAATGTTTCCCAGGAAATGCTCGGATGTTTATATCGTTCATGATGGTCTCAAGTATTTCATTCTAACTTGTTCCAGGGAAACCACCAAAAACTTCTGCTTTGTATAGGCTAATTAAACGCGTTAGAAATATATCTTACCTAATATGCTATTAGGTGCATGATAGTTGCAGCCTACTGCTGCAGAAAGAAATGTATTTTAACTTCGAAGAGGGCAGGAATGATGGATGTGAAAGATTGAAAGCTTTTCGCTGTGAGGACATTTTTTTAATGTCTTTTGTTCGCTACTAAGACATAAAAACAAAACAATCAGTTCTTCCACAGGTGAAATTTAAGGTCGTCAAAAACAACTCATAGATCAGTTTTTTTTATGTTTTACAAGAGTTTGCGATCATTCCGGTTTTTTCTGGGTCTAAAGGTAGACGCGTCTATTTTCAGAAACGTGCTCGGCTTGTACAGACGAAGGGCGCGTCAGATATTTGGTGACATCATCCACTTTCCGGATACTTCTAGTTCCGTTAGTCAGGTTTCCTTTGTGCTGCAAACCATTGTCGCACTTGCGAGGTCGCGAAGAATAGATCACGTTCAATCAGTAATCTTTCCAAATTCCAAGCAAACTTGTCACTGTTTGGTTCCACGATAAGCGCACAAGAAGACAGATTCATCTCTGCAGTCTTGTTTTGTTTAAAACGAACTATATGTGCGGGTTACGATTATACATACTTTGCATCTGACGTCATCCCGTCCGTCAGCTCTCCGGCCACCAACAGAAAAGAGGGGAAGGAGGAACTTGCCTCTCACCGGGACTCTCTTTTGTGTGTCCAGACGTCGCTTTTATCCCTCTAGAAGATTATAGGGGATTACCTCCCCATTCAAAATTTGTACAAAAGCAGCTTCCCCCTCTCTCTTCCATGGAGGTGCGAAATGAATGAGCTGACGTCGTTGCAAAACATGTATACCTTAAAAATTCCGGACACATTTGCATGCTTTATATCCTTTCCCGAGCGTTAAAACCATGATTTTGTTTTCTCACATACATTGAGAGAGCGGAACCATCATTCTGATGTGATCCTGCTTGTTAATTCTTGGTAGCAATGAACGTTTGTTTACACATGTAAGAGTAATAGTGCTGCATCACACGACAAAACACTTCAGAGTGACATCTGCCCTTGTGTATGGTCAAGGGGTTATTGCGGGCAGACAACCGCATGCGGTCACTTAGCTGCAGTAGTTGTGTTGCGCGAGTGTTTATAGAGCGAGCCCCAACGGGCGTCTGGAATCTCTACTGTAGATAAGATGATTTAGCCGGCGCAGTACCCCCGCTAACCCAGGGTCTTTAACGCGTATCACGCAGCCATAGGGAGTTGTAGTAGACCGTTTCCGCAGTCCGCTAAGCACCCGGATAGCGCTCCGTGATCCGCCACAAGACCTTGAACTATGCAGACAAGGCTGGCGGCGCGCATGCGCGGCTGCGGCGTTTTCTTTACGGATACCGTAGCGGAGGAGAAAAACGGTCTCCTACAACTCCCTAATGATTTCACGAACACACGCCGGTACGACGCTCGTCCAGATCGAAACGGTCATGGGTCGGAGATTGAACCCTCAGGATCCCTGCAGGTTCTGTCTCATTTGCAGAGCGAGCGGATGGCGCGATCCTCTTCTCAAACGTGGTGTCTCGTTTCCTCTTCAGACTCAGCTGGAGCAAGAGGGCCTCGCCAACCAGCACCAGCAAGAGGAGTTGCGACGACAGCAAGAGCAGCTCCTCGAACAGCAGCAGAAGTTGCACGACCTGCAAGTGAGTGTCGTCCGTATTGTCTTCTACGTGTTCACACTGCCCGTACACATCATACAAAACGCAATGTTCGACGCAGGCACGATGACAGAAGTCTCCGTGGACATGCCTCAGACAGACTGTCCTTTGTATAATGGTATTCGCAGCATGACCCCGGGGTACTGCGCGTGCGCAGAAAACAGAGTTGCGTGAAGTGGAGCGTCTTCGCACGCGCCGACATGGACGCTGTTGGATCATGCGTAACTTATGTCCAATTTATTATCATTAAAATTTGTCAGCTTTGCAATAAAAGAATATGTTCTTTTTTGTAATATTTGTTAAGCTTTTAGGTATATTGCTCCCACATTAATAATTCCGGGTGTGTGTTTTCTGCGGTTTACTCTCTAGGCAACGAAAGCCTAGCAGAAGACTTTATGAACCCGAAGAACAGGAAAAAGGTCGAAAACTTGATAATGTCTGCCTAAAACCTGAAAAGCAAAACTGTAAATGCCGAAAATCCGAAAGTGCACGCGCAACAACGCGGTGCCCGACAATCTCTTTGAAGCTTTTTGTTAACATTTGAAAACAGGATAGAACGGTCAGTAGGATATCGAGGTTTTTTTCTTTCACGGACATGCACGTTTTCTAGACGTTCGTGCTGGTGCTTCCACACGTTGCCTTTGTGTAATAGTGCCCTTCTACGGCGAGCCACACATATCCTTCAGAGCAGCACGCTCACCGTTGTTACTCGTGACCTATATAAGAACTAGTCTTCTGTGAGGTAGCGAATTGGGCGAGTTGGTAAACGTTATACGAGATGAAAAGACAACAAACAGGACAGGACGAAGCTATCCTCGAAATTAAAGCTTTATTCGTGAAAAGAACAGAAAGAAAACAGCGTAGCCGATACTAATTACATCAACAAACGCCTACTCATCTGTTAGGCACCACACAATATTCCGAGCTGAAACGGTTCACACACCGCTATTCATACCAGCTCGCAAAAAAACAAACCTCTTTATTTGACAGAGGTACCGACGGCGCACTGTCAAGTTACGGGTGTCCAATGTTCTGATTTTATACTTGCGACGTCATTAATATACAGAATGGGTGATTACTAACTTCTGAGGAATTAGTAAATATGCCCAATGAACTTCAGAAATATTACAAAAAAGAGGACAATTATATTTAATGAAATGACGAATTCTGATTGCGTTAAATTGCCGCGTGTGACGCACAATCCACGTAGCTAAAAAAGAAAAAAAAAATCGTTCAGCTTTTTTTTGCATCCACTCAAAGGCCGGTGAATGCTTTTCTACGTATCTGCCGGTTTTGCGGTGAGCTTTTCTCCGGTGAGTTTTTCTCCGGTAAGCTTTTCTACCCCCCTGTAGGCCGCCCTCTTCCCAAAACCCCACGAGATCGCAGAGAAAACACCCTACCCTTCTGGCAGCAGCCGCTGCAAAATACCCACGTGGTCGCGCTGTGTGTGCTGACACGCTCCCTCGCCTCCCCACTGCCGCCACCCAGGTTCCGTTCTCCTGTGCTCACCGCGCCTCTGCCGAATAGCTCGCGTGCATACTTTCACTTCTTCCACCGCAGGCGCGATCACGAGCGCTCCCGTTCTAAAAAATGTTAAAACAAATGAAAGAAAACATCACGTTTATTTTTTTTAAACACATCCAGCATCTTGCACAATCGTTCCGCCGAAGCACACATCTCCTCACACACGTTTCCTACATCAAGTTCACGGAAAGCAAAGCCCATTGCAAGTGGCCGACGACAAATCTACTTCAAGGTGCCTTTCCTCAATACGGCAGCTTCCGCTGCCAATCACAGCACACTTTGCGTGTTCGTTTACATTTTATTTTTATTTTTACAAGAATGCTGATGGTTGTGGCAAATGGCTGCAGCAAGTGCCGCTTGACGAGGGCCCAGCACTAAGATGACAGTTGGTTCATCTACTGCGTAATGTTCATGCTCAACACGCTCTGTCATCGAAAGAGTGTCTCCCTTTCGCCGCTCCTTCCCGTCGCCTTGTCCGCGCGCGTCATTTGCATCGCGGCGCACCGAACCGATCGGAAATCACAGCGAGCGGACTGAGCCGAGTCTTGGGTCGGTTCGCCTGTCGACGGTTTCCTCTTATTTTGTGCGACTTGGAGCAAACGTCGGCCTGCACACCTACCACTCTAGCGCACCCCTGTGTGTCTCTCTCTACTCGATCCTGCCGTGACAAATGGTTCTTCGCCTCCTAATGGCAGAATTATGCCTTCCCGACCAGAGGCGCTAATTTCGCCCAGTCATCCTTCATCTTCGGCCCAGTTGTTTCCTGGACCCCGGTGTGCTCTCGGGAGAGCGCACGCACTGCTCGCTTTTTCCTCCCGCCCCTTCTTCACCGTGCTGGGGCTCCCCCGTGCTATTGATTCGCCAGCGCGGGCTGCCGCTGTTGCCTCGGCGTCGTCGTGTTGCCTGCATGTGCTCGCGTTGTACACTTCTCGCGCCACTGGATCCGACACCGCGAGTAGACCACAAATCGATGTCTGATCGAGGCGTGTGTCTGGGCCTTGCATCGCGGAGTCCGCCGGCATATTATCTCGGGTCGATGAGGTACCCCCTTGCGAAGTTCGCTGAGGGAGACGTTGTGGCGTTCGCCTGGAAGCGTCTCTCCCGCACGATCGTGTCGGTTCTGCCAACCTACATGACTTTTCTGTGATTCGCATTTTCTTAGCTTATTATCGCGAACCGCCTCTGGCAAAGCTGAGCTGTGGTTGATGAAATCTGTTCGGAAATACGGCAGGACCACGTTGTGACAGCCTTGATCGCAACTATGGTTTTCCGTCTCGACATAACTTAGCAGACATCGGGGAGCCAATCAGGGCCTCAGTGTGAGGCACGTGACAATGTTCTGTCGAAGTCTATTCATGCTGTGGAGAGCTGTCAGGCCTTCAATCACTCTGGTTGGCTCGCGGAGGCCGCAGCTTCCACCGTTTGCCAAGTTATGACCAACAAGTCGTTGAATTACGCCACTTGGTAGCACTTCCAAAGAACAACTACGACACGGGCGTGTGTCAATTCACAAAGAACGTAAGTGATAAGTTAGTTATTTGTACAAAAAACAGGGCGCACACGGCTCCGTGCTTAAAGGAGCTACGCAACAATTTTTGTACTTTGCGCAAATACCGCTTAAAACGGATCCCTAACGTTAATGACCTATGAAACACGCGTTCGTTTTTCACCCCACGCAATAGAAGTCCCAGAAAAAAATTAAAGAAAAACGAGCAGCGTTCACCCCCTCAACTCGCAGCCAGAACAAGCGGCCACGTGATCTGGAGCCGATTATATGCCGCCAGAGTTGATCATAGCCACGCGCTGGGGTTGGCAAAGCGCAGGACACGCGCTGAGTTCCAGACATTGTTATGGCTCGGCTGTTGTCGTCGTTGCAGCGATTGGACACGGGTCACAACCCGAATGCTTCTCGAGCTAGCAATTATCACGAGCCCAAGTCGAGTGCCCACGCAATGCTCGAGTCCAATCTATGAACCGCATTCGAATATCGTCACTTGGGTGTACTGCGATCCCCGAGTTACGTCATCAAATTTTGCAAAGGAGAGATTGAATGAAAATGATCGCTTTTGTCCTTGAAATTACACCGCAACAAAGGAGTTTCTTGACCAGGGGCGTTCCGTGTGAGTATCCTTGAGTCCCAGGTGTGCCAGTAAGCTCGTGTAGAGAGAAAAACATTCCCATTGAATATCGTTGCACAGCTCCTTTAACAAAAGTAAAAAAAAATCCCGAATTACATTGTTTATACGTCACACAAAAGACGGTCTGCATACAGATTTGAACGCGAGTCCCCGCGAGATCCGTGCTTTGAATGCCGCATGGCAATGAGTTCAGGGAGAAACGTGGCACGGGGTATTCGAACGATGAATATTGCGGTGATTCGTGTTGGCAGTCTTTTGTATGATGCACGAGCAATGTTACCCGGCTTTAGGCGAGTGCGCCTGCTAACCTGCCACCGTGTTCACCGAGTTATAAATAACAAGTGCAAACATTTAAATAATGATGATTGGTTATGACATTTATTAGAAAGGCGGTAGTAGGTTAAAGACTAGATCGCGACAAGCGCGAAGACACTCGCTTGGCAGACTGCAACGTTCCCGGGATCCTTCGTGGCTCAAAGGTTAACCTTAAAGGGACCATGAAATGATTTTTCAGCTTTCTCCAAATGAAGACCCCCAATTCATCTGCAATGTTCATAAAACCCGGAGCAGGAATCCATTTTCGTTTTATTGCTTCCATTTTCGCACACACAGGGAAAGATGAAAACGTTCGTCTGCTTTCCTCCTCGACTAGACCGGACTCGGCCACCAACATGTAAAATCATGTGGCCGTTACGTAAAGTATTCCTTTCTACCAGAAACGGATGCTCTCCCAGCCGAGCGAGGGAGCCGCTTTGGACACGAGCACTGTGTCACACGGACGTATGCTCTTGTCAACAATCAATCCGTCGACGAATTGAATTCGTCTTCGCGGCCAATGAGTGTGTGCTTAAGACGATGGAAGCTTGGAGTCATCGTTCCGGTGCCCAAGCACTTCACGACCGCGTGATTTCTCATTTCACTTTTGGGTTGAGGAGGAAGAAGTTAAAAAATCATTTCTGGTTTCTTTAAATTTTGCTGGTTGGCCCGTTCGCTCTGGAAGAGGCGCATGCAATATGAAATAGGAAGTGCCATAACAGCCAAAGTCGAAGTTTGGGCACAGATGAACGCAACTCTAGCCCATAGCTGGCAGATTGCGAACGCCAGCCTAGCAGCAGAATGCGAAGTGCACGAAGCCTACGGCTCTGTTCGATAAGTAGTCCGTGAACAGCTACGTCTGTCGATAAATGACCGATTGACGGAAACGAACATTGGTAGCAAGATGGGTGAATCCTGACGCCCTGTGCCCCGATCGTAGGCCCGGCTGAGCGGCCAATACTTGGCCGCCGCCTCCGTGTCCAAGGGCTTCCTACTGATGCCCATGCTGGAGGCGACTCTGCCCAGAGTACCGGCCAGGCCTGTCTCTTCGCCCACGGCTGCGCACACCCCGCCAACGGTAAACGAAGCCATTCCGCCCGCCGCATGCCATTGCACACCCGGCACGCTGTATTCGTCCCCGACCCCCGATGTCGTACCGTGATCTGTGAAGTCGACATGTTGCTACTGCTCTGGCGCCATGTCCGTTTGTTCTTGGTTTTGCACTCCGATCGCATGGTCTCATTCCACCCTGGGCATGCCGTCCCGCTCGAAGGTCAATTCATGTTGCATGTTCGGTTGTTGTCTGCCGCCGACTCCGGTTGGCTTTTTCGGCTTGACCGTGTCTAAATACAAGTATAACTTGGGCTGCGCGTCGATTAAAACTTTTAACCCGATTATCGCAACTTTTTAATGGATTGATTGATCGGTCTTATTTATCTACATGCATAATGTATATGTTGAAAAATGTTGGCCTTTGTTGAATATGTGACGGCGAAATATACAATTTGGATTTCAAATCAACCTCTATGTGTAGTTTAGAACAGTTCAGGAACACTCACTCTCAAAGATTATCACTTCAGCTGCGTGAGGCAAAGAGGTTCGTTGATATTCTGCGGCAAAGGCGACCCCCCTCGATTGTTCGCAATAGCCACTGCTGCGCTAAACGGACACTCGAACGGAGTTAAAGTGGACAGCACACGTGCAACCTTCTGCAATTGTCTGGAGTTACAAATCTCGACCCTAAGTTTACTTCAGGTTAAAATTTCACCTGAAGTTTGCCCTTCATAAAGGTGTACTCCACCACGTCTGCGTGGTGAAAGCGCTGAATTTTTATATATTTAGGTTCTTCAAAACTTTACCGACTAACCGTTAAAAAATTAATCGCGATTAAACCATTCATCGAATAATCGGTAGGTTAATCGATCAATACCCCCACCCTAGATATGCCTGTATATGTTTGAGTATTAAGAACATCACTCCTTACATGAACGGGCTGTGGGGCCTGGCCTATCTGTTTAGTAATCTGATTTTGTTTTAATTTAAAAAAAAAAAAAAACCTTGTGGTAATACTAGGGCTATGTAACGCAAGTCCATATACTTATTTAGCTTTACAAAATGGCATTAAGCGCGCAGGTGATCTGGTGTAGTATATCCGTGTCAGAAGTCAACAACAAGAACCATACAAAAATGTATTGTCCTTTTAGCCTACGTTTCTTCAGTATGTTTCGGTTCTCATTGTCGTTGGATACTTCTGGTTCCTTGACCTTACCTTCTACGTAGTTTTGTTGCACAAACATTTTCTAGTAAGAATGAACACAGCACAGGTCCCCTTCCCCCGGCCCCTACGTAAAGTTACATCTAATATCAATATAGCGATGTGATAATGGCACTATTAGAAATCCCATCATAAAAGACAGCGATCAAAATGCACTCGAAACAACGTCTCGCTCATTTCACGACACTCGGAGACAAATTACGCACCGATGATCGCGGCTCTGAGGAGGAACCGTTACTAGGCGCCAGTCGTTGCCGCGAGAAGAAGCCATGTTCAGTATCCGGACCACCGCCGTAGGGTTAGGACTGGGCCGGAAGCTGCAACGTACCCCGCTCCGATCAAGTTTCCGCGGGACACTGGTCTAATTGCTCCACTTTGAAGAGCCCTCCGTCTTCTGCGCAGTCTCATCCGTCACACTTCAGTTCGACGTCCTTGCCTTTCCAGATCTTTTATTTATCCCGGTACTTTATCCCCTTAAATTTGATATGTCATGACGTGGTACGTGGTATAGGTATACTGTTTCTTTCGTTCTCACACTGAAACATCGCCCAGCAAATTGAACGGTGTAACTCCGTCGCACTCCTCGCTTGTTTAAAAAAAAAAACACACACACATTAATACCGTGTTTTCGGATTCAATATTAACGTGATAGCATTAAGGAGCTCGTGTCGCGGAAAATCCGGCGTGCCGCGAAAATCCTGATTGGTCGATAGGGTCATGACGTCACAGCCACATGACATCAGGCGGGAATTTCAAACAATCCACAACGCTCACGCGAAACGCGACGTCACGCGTGGAATGAAAGTTATTAAAAAAAACATGACATGTAACGCGAATTAAAGGTGGCCGCGTGTCTCATTTGATTTCACTCTATAAAGTAATTATTTCGCCTTAAGAAAAAATTTGAAGAATTTTAGGCGGAATCCGAACCCACGATCCTTCGGTTGCGATCCAGTAAGCCAAACAACGCACTTTTTTATTGTTGTTTTGTTTGTTAGGTTACGCGGGGCTTTGGAACGAGCGGGAGTTTATATGTTTTGTTTGTTTATGTCTCTAATGCAGGCAGTTTCCTCGCGTCTCGGCGCGTGACGTTATGCGGTCATATGACGTCACGGTGCAACATGACGTCATATGGTAAAGAAACTGCGCGAACGAGGCGACGTCAGGCGTGGTACGACACAGCAGGTGCATAGGCGGTGAACAAAACGGAAACCTCGCGAGTCAGCTATCGGAGCTTTTCTGCGTTTAGCGCGTATTTTCAAAAAAGAAAACTATGGACACTAAGAGAAATGCCAGGCGGGGGGAGTCCCGAGCACCTTGTCAGTGCTGCGCAGCGAATGAAATTGCGGCATGCATGATGGCGATAGGAACGCTGAAGAATGCACCACTAAGCAAGAACCGTAAACCTAAGAACCGCCCACTTCCTGCGTTTCTTATAAAACAGGTAGGGACACGCGTGTCAAGAAATGAATTTTACGCGAAAAAAAGAATTAGTGCTATATTGAAGGCACGAGATTAAATTCTTCGTGTAAAATTTATGACGTCACGGAATGGTCATACATTATTTCCGCCTCAACGAGATGGCCATACACTCTCCACCTCAACGCAGTGGCCACGCCTATTCACCTCTCCTCCACACGTGCGAAATGCGGAGAGAGAAAACAAGTGAAAAGAAGGTGACTATCGACTAAATCGCGTCTCGTGCCGTCAATATTGCTCAATATTATTTTTCGCGTAAAATTAATTTTTTGACACTTGCGTCTCAACCAAACTGAGTAAAAAAAAAAACTTTTTTTTTTCTTTTTAGGTTTTTTTTAAGCTGTCTGTTACTGTTCCGACTTTCAGATGGAGGGGGCAAAACCTTTAAAAATCGGGTGCGCGCCCACCTTCTCGTATACCACCTCTGTCTTGTCAGTACATACAATTATATATGTATACAAAAAAAAAAAACAAAAAAAAAACGACTAGAATTTCCGCATTTTTGGGCAGACTCCGGTTCCCTTTCGAACTAGAACAACTAGCACGGTCTCACACACATGGCGTCAGTTCCGAACCCTGGAGCCTGGAGTGTCCCTTGGAAACAAGGTGCAGAGGAAACTTTTTTCCGAGCTTAAGAACTCCCACGTGTACTTCGGGACGGAAGCTGGGGGGAGGGGGGAGGGGGACATTGGAGGGTTCCCCTCGGGCCATCGCGGCACATCACCGTGCCCTGCGGCAGCACGTGCCCATGTCTGCCTCTCGGCCGTAATGTCCCTCCTGCTGCGGCGCCTTTCTTCTGGCCCGGGGCGCGTAAACGCTGGGGAAGCCGCGGGGCTCTTTCGCCACGCGGGTTACGACTGTAACGTGGCCCTTCGGAGCGGTCGTAAAGGGGACCCCGAAATAGCGCCGTCGTCGTCGCAGAAGCCAAGTGGGCTGCTCGAATCCGCCGGAATGTATCGGGAACTGCCCCGAGAGCCCCCGCTTCAAGTGAGCGGCGAAGAACAATGAGGACCGGCAGGAATCCCATGTGACGTCCCCCGTCGCTTCGGGCTAAACAGACAACCCCCCGCACACACAGACACACTTTCCTTTCTTTCTACAGACGTCTTTCCGAAATTGTGAAGGGGCACGAGCTTCTGTCCACTTGTGGTCAAAGACCGAAAGAGACAAGATGTCTTAAGAGACAAATAAGATGTCCACTATTAGAAATTTGGGCACGTAGGACATTTTGTCTCTCTGTAGTACTATTGATTTTTTATGCAAATTGTGAGCTACCATAGCTACGTTGTAAAAGTTAAAACACAGCCTTTACAAAAAAATAAAAACTACTAAACGTGTTTTTTTTTTTTGTTTTTTTTTTTAAGTTGTTCAGAGCTAATTAGTAGGGGTCTTCGTGCGAATAGCGGTTCGAATCGAGTAACGCCGCGTCATTTCTTACATTTTTCAATGCGAGGAAATATCACGTCATACCATTTGTTATTGAGTGTTGAAGCTATGACTTATAGTAGTGATGCTATGCAATTTGAACCGACATTCGCACGCCCGTACTGACTAAGGATAAAGAAGGCAAACAAAGACGATAAAGTGGCGGCTCTGGCAAGGAAGGGGGCGCCCTTGTTGGGAGAATGTCGGAATCAAAGGTTCCGCCCGGTAAGTGGTGGGCAAAGCGCGGTTGCTTCCGCGCACCGACAGTGAGTGAAGAGAGCGGGCGGCTCCGGGCGCCACCCGCCCCCGCCGCCGCATCCCATTGTTGACGACTCCGCGTTTTGCCCCGTTAATATTTAATGGCCTAATGCAGTCCCCGATTGAATTATGGAGGGATACGGCGCAAACCCCCCGAGGGTTCGCTTCTCATCCCTCTCGCGGGCTGGTACCGGCCTACCTTCATTGCGAGGGGGAAGACTCGGACATGTATCTGGGCGCTTTGCAAAGCCGGCTCGGTTGGGCGCTCCTGGTCTTCGGTAGGTATGCACCGCTTGCTTTGCGTGGGCTCGTGTAACCGCTCCCACAAAACCCAAGTGCCCAGTTATACTAAACCCCTGCGATGAGAATAAGTGCAAGCCATCGCGGCTACTGGAACATCTTTTGGTGCCACTTGCAGGAATACCTAATGATGGTCCTCAAAGGGTATAAAGCGCCGAAAAAATACGGACCGAGACACGAAGACAACGACACAAGGCGCACTCTCAACTGAAGTTTCGTGGCATAAAGGAAAAATAAGACCCGTTAATTGGCAGGTAGGCGCTGGGAGATGGTCGTAAAACAAGACATGAGCTGTCACTTCGGAACTGGGGGAACCCCCGAATGAGCCTTAATGGGTAGAC